ACAGCAGCACCAGACACCACCGAGCCAACAGGAGCACCACTATGCAGAAACCACAGGCTATCTCAAATGCCTGAAGTGTAGACTCAACATCCACAAAAGAGTCAATGAAGAAGCATTTCAACTCTTCATTGCCAGCCCATGCGTTGACCAGGCTTTCACTGGCAACAATCCAGGACACCACAGCCACGCACTTTGGCAGAAAGGGGACCGTCTTCGTTGCACTCAATGTGGCACCCAGACCAACCTTGATGGAGAGAAGCGGGTCATCTCCACACAAGCTCTCCAAAGACCCTGCAAGGGCGCTGGCATGAAAACATCCCCGCCTCTCAGCGACTACTTCAAAAAGAAACCTGAAGGAGTCTGCACCCCTGACAATGATAACCAGCCACACACACAAGGCCAGGCACCTGAGGCACTCTCTGCTGCCGGACCAACGCCTCGACGTTTGCACTTTCCCACCTTGCTTGATGCAACGGCAGAGGCAGACAATGACGAGGGCATGATGGCCGTTGACTTTTTCTGAGCCCGTGAGAGGCCCACTGAGGCGAAACCGCCTAGGAGACCAGCCAAAGAGCACCAAACACAACAACTCTAGAAAAAAATACATACATACATACATACATACATACATGTATAAAAGTAAAGGCATTGGTATGGCCTGAATACAATGTATACGTAAATTTATACAAAAACAAAACAAAATAGCCGACCCCGGTTCTGGTGTGAGGGTAGTCCTTCTTGTTCCGGATTTGCTTTTTCATTAGCTCTTGCTCTGCACAAGAATTTGTAGTTCATCATTGTTTGCCTATGAAACCGAACACAATGCACTCAATATGATCCAATGCCAAACGGGCATGTAGTTTTGTTCGTCTTGGCCGTTTGGTGTGTATTTTCGCTGCTCAACTTGCAGCAACTGTCCATTTAGAACGTTGCTTACCACCGAAGGGGGGGTACTTGAAGTGCAGCAGACAGGTGCGTTTGCAAGCGAGGAACCTGAAAAATAGATGGCATTTGCGGAGTCAGCAAGCGAGTTGTGACCTACAGCCACGAGTTCAGATGGACCGAGTACAGTGGACTGACCGAGTACCGTGGTGGACCACGTCAGTGGTGGCCAGAAACGCCGGTGCCGCTTTTCCTTTTCGGCTTCTTCTTTCAAGGAAAGGATCACCTCTTCATTGTTGTACGAGAGCGACACAAACACACAATTTACTCTAACATGAAACATGCTATGTGTACTTTTTGCCATGGAATTTTTCAACCTGCTGGCCATTTTGCAAGATCCCTTTTTGCGGGAAGGTTGTGTCAGATTGAAACGGGTGCCTCAAACAATCTCAATGTCTCAAAGTCACCCTTGAGAATACATTGTCTTTGCAAGAGCCCTTTGACTGACCCCCTAGCTGATGCCTTTTGTTGACGCGGCAACTCATGCAACTTTGGACTTCGGGCAACTTCTCGCAAGTTTGCAGTTCCAATGACACCAAAACAAAAGCATTCCATCTTCAGAAGCGGCGCTTTCTTGGAATGCGGAAGGACCTTGGCCAAGACGACATTGATGAGTTCTTTGACGATGAATCTGAGTGATTTATGGGATGACAGGAAAGACATACTCGTAGGACATATCGGGTACCTCCAATTTCCGACTGTGCTGAAGGCAACATTCCTGTTCTGTTCTCACATTTGATTTCGATTCGAGGATAGATTTGATGATTGATTTGGGCAAAAGTCATGTGGTCGATCAGGAATATAGTTCCACACCGTGAGAACATGGATGGACCAACACAAATATGTAGAGCAGTGAGTTCAAGAGAGTCAGATGCAGTGGACACCACTCACCCTCAAATAATCCCTTTTGTGAGTGCATTTGTGACCGGAAAGAGTCCTGAAGCTCGAAGGGTGTCGAAGCTGCCCTGCGACTGGGGGATTGGTTGATTTATGCCGACAGCTAATCAACAACCACTGGGTAGACTGGATATCACTTGTGTTAGTGATATGTGTGGTTTGGAGTACCGAAGACAGAAAAATATGATATATATCCTTGCCCAGATTGATCCTAGCTTCGTCCTGCGCGCCCCACCATGCCCCTAAAAAGGGATGTGTGGTCTGCGCAGAAAAAGACATGAGACCCGGGTGGCCCAGGGTTGAGCCTTTTGGGCAGTTCTATTCGGTCAAGTCTATGCGTATGCGGATCCGAACCGAGCACCAGCAGCCGGACCGTATTTTCACCGGGTGAACCACCCCGGATCCTAACAATCGCACCATCCTTGGATCCTTTTTCGGTCGTGGGCGGTTTAGTGGCTCAGGTCAGGCGGATGGGCTGCAGTATATAGGAGTCCTTACCCTTTCTGTGGAATCTGAAGACCTGTTCAGAGAGATGTTTGGCAGAGCGCATCTGGGTTCGTTCGTGGTGGCCTGTTTTCTTGGGCTGTGCATGCTCACCACTGCAATGCCCGAACCATGGAAGACCTCTTTCTTTTTTTCTTCTTTTGATTGCATGAAGACTTGGGGAGTTCGGGTGCCGAAAGAGGGACAAGAGTCAGGAGCTTTAATCAATGACATTCTGACGTTCTTGATCAAACGGTTTATTGATGGGGCACGGGCCACTCTCTTTTGTTCTCCACTCTTTTCCAGAGAGTACACATCATTCATCCGCATTTTCGCTGAGACCCTTTTGGTACTGTGAAATATGGAGGTGCATATAAGCCGACATGGGCACAAGTAGTTGCTCGTCACAAGTCAATGCATTTTGCCTAAAGGAGCGGGCTTTTCGATCATCTCCCAAATCGCAAATGCCAACAAATAGGCATAGAAGCTGATTGTCCACCTTTGGTATAAATATCTACAAAAGAAAACGCAATTGAACATTTCTGGCAGCTTCCGTGGTTGTGGTTGTTGAACAGTGTAAACATGGTTGAATCTGTGGATTTGCTGAACTTGATGGAATTTCTTCTCAGTCTGGGAACTTCTGGCTCCGTTCTTAGCTTGGTTCTTCTCCGCTGTTCGGGTACGAGAGCGAGCCAGCGCCTGTTCCTTCCTCTCCGGAGGCAGGTGCTACTCTTCATCTACCAGGTGGTCTATCTTTGCTGTAGAGGTGCTACTTACAAACATCCCTTATGATCCCTTATGTAGATAAACAGCACGCGCTCCACATATACAGCACGTCAAAATCATTTTTTGGGGTGCACGGTGCGAGGGTAGGTGCTTGCTAGCTTCATGGCAGTTCAGATCTTACATGATGTCCCATACACGACTCCCCATGCTCCGATCAACTCCGTGCGCAGTGACAAGAAGGGGTTGGTTGGTGACCTTCCATGATTTATTTACCAACTCCACCAACCCAGGAAAGGTCAAGTTCCGGCCTCCGCAAGCTCCAGATGTTGATATGTTTCACACGGTGGGATTGGACTGAAAACATCATCCAGCCATGGTGGTTCGCAACAGCAACGAGAGGGGTCCTATCTAATCGGACATCGATGCAAATCACATATCACAAGCCATTTCTATATAACATTGGATATAAAACAACGTTTTGTCAACGTACGGCCTACGGTTTGTCAAGTGTGTAGAATGGTAGAATCTATCGGAATCCATGCCCTTCCTCCGGGGAAAAGTCCCACATCCTTCACCTCGACCTTTCCCACACTTCCCACGCTCACCCCATCCCCCATGCGCCGCCGGTTTTGTTGGCCGCTGGTCGCACTGCTGCCATGTCCAGTGCTGGGGAAGGGTGATGAAAGCTGCTGGGTGGATGGCGTCACCTGGGAACAGTGCTGCACCTCTGATGAAAGCGATGCTGATTGGTCTCAGGGTGGACCCCCCCGTGCTTGCAGAGCGTTTGGAAGGATGGTCAAGAATGGTCAAAGATATGTGCCTCCCGGGGTTTGAGTTTCCGGGATGCTGGTTTCCTGCAATGGTCACTTTTTTAGAGTGTCTATTTTTTCTGTTTTGCGGTGCGCAAGCAGAGTTTTGGGGTGCCCAGCCAATGCTCCTTCCGAGAAACAGCTTGTGAGATTGTTTGAGTTCGATCTTGTCTTGTTTGTGCAGGCAGAGTATGGTAGATTTTGCTGTATTGTTATATTCTATTTTGTCTCTGTAACACATTTAAATTATGGGTGAGGTTCATCCAAGATTCATCGGTGGCGCGCTTTTTCGACACCAAGATTGCTGCCAAAATTGGTCTTGAACTTTATACACGTTGAGTGTACTCTAGATGCCACGGATCTGAGCCTTTTCAACGATGGTGTTTGGAGGTTGGGGTTGCCAATTGACTTGGAGATGTCCGATATTTTGACCTTTTCTGAGGATGATCTATTTGATATCACGGAGTTCTTGGATGATTAGGCATCCATCGACGATCGAAGACCCCCGCCCTAAGGCGCGCCCAGATTTGGGCCGGAGGCACGGAGAGTCCGATTTGTGCGGCCGTTTGGCCGGCGAAGAGGTAGTCAGAAAGGTCACCTGTCTGGTAGCAGCATCCTGTCTGGGTGTCGCTGGACTAGCCTACACAATATATATATATATATATATTTGTATATGGATTTCCGATTGGACAACCAGACAGGATGGTCCTGGTAGATGCCCCAGATCTTTCCCAGAACCACGACATGTAGACTCATCAACATGTAGACTTGCTTGACCCCAAAGAAGAAGAACACTGGCAAGACATGCTTGTAGCGCCTTTCAATCTCTTTTCTTTGCCTTGCCTCCTTTCGTCCAACAACTGTGCCCCTAGCCACCCTCATCAACTTTGCCAGAAGCTGCACCTAAGCACCCGTGTCCAGATAGGACGTCCCATCCAACTATAGTTGCTGCTTCGAGTGGGGTCGGCTCTAGAGTTTGTCCCATCGCGCCCAGACCTTGCCCATTTCTCCCAGTGGACTGCATGTAGGACTCCCTCAGATTTTCCCCAGCTACCTTGCCACCCTGATCCACCAAAATCAGATTTCCAGGTTCCCTTCTGTCAGCTCTCAGAGGAATTTTTCAACAGCTCCGCTTGGAATCGCATGCTTCGAGATGCTTCGAGATGCTTCGGCCAGGGGAACAGCGGCTGCTGGGGAGGCGACTTCACCTTCGAGCGCTGCTGCATCGACTCGGAGGCGCCCCTGCCTGCGCCGCTGGCGGAGTCCTCCGAGGCTCAGCGGGCCGTCGCAGCGGCGAGCCGGCCCCGCACGTCGGACGCACAGGACCAAGGTGAAAGGCCCAAGCTTGGGCTTTGCCAATGCTTGGGCTTTGGGGGTGTGCCATGGTGTGCAGAAGCTTTCGCTCTTGCTTTTTTTTGCTTAAGGAACATGTGGTGGTTGCTTCTTCTGTCCCTTCTTGCAATCCATTTGTTTTCAACATCTGGGAGTTTCGAACAGCAATCCTACAAACGCTGGGCGATGGAAAGTGATGTTTTCAGCACATCTCAAGTTGCTTGGACATGGCTGCCTGAGCTGGAATCACCATGCCGAATGGTGCCTATAAAACTTTGAAAAAACACGCCCTCAGGGTGACAGTCTCCAAATCCCTGAACGCCCAGGAATCATAGAAGCCAGGATTTTTCCTCAGAAGACTTGAGGTTTCAGTGACCTGGGATCAATGACCTCGGACTTTCTGGCCTCAGGATTCATATACAACACGACAGACAAATCCGCCGACGTGACAACAAACGGAAGAATTTCTGACGTTTTTAAACATGGCTCTATGTGGGTACACCATCATGGTCCGTGTACATTCCACGCCGGTTTTTGGGTCTATTCTCCAAAGGCGGTCGTGATTCCCTGCTCGTTGAAGCTTCTTCCGTGTCGATCCAGGTTCCTCTGCTGCTTCGTCGGGAGAATTGGTCGAAGGGACGCATTTCGTCGGTGTTCTTTTTCCTGTGTCCCCGAACGAGTAATATGTCTTTTTGGTCCCTGAAATAGGAGTTGGACATCGGTTTATGAATTTTCAAGGACCCGGTAGAAAGACATAGAAACCGATGTAGGACCTGTCCAGCTGGACATCCTGTAGATGGACTGATCCAGTGGCCTTCGAACTGATCCAGTCGAACCGATCATAGGGATTTTGCTTTTCTGGGCAGGCCTATCCAGGCTGTTTCGTCCGCGACGTGGTCTTGCGCCATGCTGGCGCACATGCGGTCTTCGCGGACCTCTCTCTCTACGGGCACCAGGGGTGTTTCTTGAAGAATTGCCACTTGCCTCCAGCAATTCTGTGGTTGTGCAGCGGACATTCAGCGCCCAGGGACCATCAAAGTGTGAAGATCCTTCGGAGTTGGGGTTTGATGCTGAAAGCACACACGACAGGGATCTTCACTCCAACACACAAGCATGAAGAGTTTGTGTACATGGTTTGGTTTGCATGGTCTGTTTCATCACACGCAGGACCAGACCTGACCATTGGCCCGACCTGACCATTGGCCCGAGGCTCCAATACCGACAAGTTTGAAGCGGTGGACCCAGGCATCTGCGCACGGGCCTGTGCAGCTGTGGAAGGGTGTACGGCTTGGAGCTATGGGCAGCAGTACGGCCCCCTGGACTGGATGGAATGGGCAGGTGGACCGTGGGACAAGTGGGGCACAGGATGGCACAGGGGTCACTGCAGTTGAAGACAAACATTACATTTACAGTCGTTTACATATGAACTTCGTTTTGATTCTTTTTGGATCGGTTCTATTCTCCTGTTAGGCCATCTTGGAATTTGCACACCAGCTGGTTTGGAATGAACACCTTGGATACCCTGACTTTCCAGGGTTTCCTTCTTACAGTTTGTCGTAGTGCTGCTTTCTTGTAATTATATAGTCTCAGTTGATTGTGCCTCTTTGCATTCAGGCAGAACGTTCATCCCTTTGCAAATCTTTGCTTGCACAAGGTAGTGACGCTATGTGACGGACAATTTTCGGCAAAAAGAACCACGTGACGATTGATGTGAAACAAAGTAGAACAACTTCCGATTGAGTACTATAGACTATAGAGCTTCTGTGATCAGACGATGAATCTGGGTTCAACCTTCTCGGCTTCGGAATGCAGACGGCTTCATTACATGCGACCGCCTTCCGGAAGAAACAATTCGAAATTCTAATCTATCTTGAACAGCAAAACATTCTAATCTATCCATCAACCGGGTTTGAGCATTTGGAGCTTCTCTCTACCGGTGCTTTCCGAGCTTTCCTGCTTGGTCTTGGTCTCAGACAAACCCGCTTGCCTGCGCATAGGAACCAAGAAGTGCTTCCTCCGGAAATCCGATGAAGGCGGTGGACGCGCCGCGTGTTTTTTGGCAGGTTTGGCGCCTGTCAGAGCAACGTCGAAACTTTAAACAAAGCTCAAGCAGGACATTTTCTTTTAAAAGGCATGGTTGTATATGGTTGTATCTTAAAATAGGGAGACCCACCCGAAGATCCATCAAAAAAGGGACAGGGATTTTTTTCCATTTGGTCATACATTGCGCATCCATTTATATACATGGAGGTTTGAGCTTTCTTGCTGGAGGTCCTAAAATTTCAGGCATGGTTGTTCAACTTGTGATCAGTCGTCCGCAAACAGGACTACTGTAAAAGCATCCACTGGTGGCTTAGCTTAGTAAGTGGATGACCTCTGACTACATGCTATCGGTCCAGCCACGCCCACCCTGCCAGTCGGCTTTTCTTGCCGCCGGTCTGCCCGTTTGCGCGGAGGTCGCGCCTCATTGCCCCACTGGATCAGCGGCCTGAAGGCCTGTGCGCCGAAAGCGCTCCTGCCGGCTGCGGTGGCACACAGCGCGGCGAACAGTGAGGGGCTGAAGAAGTGCGATGCTGGTAAAGGGGAGGACGGAATGGGATGGGATGGGGAAGATGTGAGTGAGTGCTGGTGGTTCTGGAGAATGAAAGGTGTTGAAAAGCCACTTTCTACGAGTCTGGCGGTGGTTATGGAACTTTGGTGGCGATTTTTGGGAGATGACAGTCCAGCTCTGATGACAGTCCAGTCCGCCAGGAGTGCCCGAACGCCACTGGGAGAGCACTTTAGAACGCCCGGTGGGACCTAGGTGGGACTCAAGAACAGGATTGAGGGCTAGAGCGGCTAGAGATCTGCAAAAGACGGCTGCAAGGGCTTGAGGGCCCGAAGTCCAGTTGCAAGTGGGGTCATGAGTGGGGTCATGATATGTTTCGATGATCTGCACGTACTGCGCTTCGCACCACCTTGGAGGTCCCTGCTGGTACCGGCTCTACAGTAGCACAAGCTACAGTACTTTCAGTACATAATAGGTGTTTCATTGGCGAAGAACACTTCAATGAACACGTAATTATGACACCGTTCACCCAGAGGAAAATCATCACTGCAGTGGGCCACCTCGGCGATAGAGGTGCGCTCTGCGATGAACACCTGGATCTTCGCCATCGACCATTTGCAGATGGCCTTCCGTGGCCGTGTCGATGCCGACACCTGGCAACACATCGAGCGCATTGGACAGGCCCGCGGGTGGAGCGTGCTTGGGGTGCCATCCAATAACAAAGCTAAAGGTGGATGGAGACCTTGAAGTTTCCTAGTCTCTCATCCGCTTCTTCTACATGTACGGAGTATACTTAAACCTCTGTATCCACTTCTAGAAGTCTCTGAACTTTCTCCACTCTTCCGCCACTGGGTCGACTTCCGTTGAGTCAACCGACTTCCTCCAGGAGTCTCGGAACTTCCTCCAGCAGCTGACGTCGCCGTATCGGCCCAGTGACAAGGACTTCCCCCGGGTGGTCTACAACAACCGGCCTGGGGCACCCAATCGGAGTAGGCGGACTGGTGCTTTTTTGTGCCAGGGTTGGAGAGATACAACAGAACGCAATACAAGATACAACAGAAACAGATGTTGAAAACGTTCTTTTTTTCCTCTGTCTGCTGACGTTTGAAAAGGGAGATCTGCGAGGTGACCACCTTTGGGGCAGGGGACCAAAAAGCGCGCCTCCACTGTTGGGGTCGGGTCCGAAAAGCGGCGCTTCGCCAAACGGGCTGGACGGTGGATGTTGGATTTGGATCGCCCATCTGGTTCAGCTGAGGTTGATCTTCACTCACTTGGAAGGTGCTTTGGCGTCTCAGTCTTCTTCGGAGTCCTTCTTCAGCGAGGACGCCTCCCTGCCGCCGCATGGCCGAAGGATGCCGAGAAGCATTCCTGGTATGGTGATTTTGGTCAAATACTATGACACATCATAGGTCTATGTATAGATCTGTAGATGTTGTTGGGCGATTTGGTGCATGTGCTTGGGATGTTTCGACTCAACTTGGCAGTACCTTGCTGCCAAGTCCTTCCTGCCAAGTACTCCAAAACGTGAAGTTTGCAGTGGGCTCTGTGTCAGAGAAATACAGAAGGAAACGCAAGTGGAGACCCTTTGATGAGGGAAACCTCTTGTATCTTATACGAGGCTTTACCCGGTTTCCACTTCCTGCATATACTCCGTACACGCTTGGGTGAAGGTATTTCTTGAGTAGCACTGCCGCCTGCTGTAGGCCATCACCCTCCCAAATGCATCTTTGCACTTTTGCACTCCAAGGAACCCTTTGCGCTTTGGCCGCCTCTGTGGAAACACCTCGTGCTACGACCTCACTTGACGCACCGGACAAAAGAGCGGTGGATGGAATCGGACGTGGAGTGTTTGGACTAGCTTCTTGTTACTAGTAGTAAGGCACCTGTTACTACTAGTAAGGCACTTGTTTCTACTAGCTTCTTGTTACTACCCTGGTAAAGTGCATCAAAGTGAAGAGAAAAGGCCTCCTATCTGGAAAGGAAGATGAATTGACGAGCGAGACTCCGACGGAGCCTGCCCTCGGAATTTCCACTGAACGCAGAGAGCACGACGCCAGTGTCCTCTGACCTGTAGGAGTCGGTCAACAAGTATCAATCTTTTTAAAGGCACTGCAACCTATCCATCCACTGGTCATAGGATATACTGATATCGTGGACCTTGTATCAAGACCAGGTCGGTCACTGGGCCACATGATGTGTCACATGGTTCCTGTTCGTATTGGCCAGGCGGTTCGAGGATCCATGGATGTGCAGAGACGAAGCCCGACGAGGGAGCCCTGGCGACGTCGGATTCCCGCGGGTAGTTGGCTCAAGATTCACGAAACATCGGACTCCATTGCGGGTAGTCGCAATGGCAGATGTGTGTGCAGGTGATGGTTCTGGGTGTTTCTGGGTGTTTGTATGTGGAAGACAACAGGACATGGATGGAGATGACCAAGTTTTGAAGTCAATGATTCCACTAGAATCCATGAGATCTTTTTGACTATTGACTGCCGGGGTGTTGAACGTTTTGTGCTTTTTGATGCTTTTTGAGCTATTTGTGATTAATGCCACAGACATACATGAGTCATACCTCATGCAGACGACCTGTCTGCATTATCCAGATGTTCACGCGCGGCAGAGACCGCCCGCAGGCCCCGGGCTCGTCAATTGGGCCGAAACGCCCGAAGAGATTGAGCTCGAAGAGCTTTTCCAAAAGAAAGGCCCGAGTCTAAGAACCTGAACCGTGCGACGCTCGTGTTGGGGCAGTGGGACGACTTCTTGAAAGGCTTTTTTTGCTGATCCTTTAGCCTGTCCAAAACGTCCCTCTCCGGGCTCATGGCCGTGCAGTTGCGGTTTAACAGCTTTGCGCAGGCGCTGTTTCGGATGTCTGAACGCTGATTCTTTCAACATGGCGAACAGAACTTCTAGTGTTCAAGCGTCCCGCTTTTTTTGAAGAACACGTTCCAGAACAAGTTCGTCTTGAGCGTTCTTTGGGTGACCTTTTCTCTATGATGAACTCATGCTCACGTGAGTCTCTTGCTGGACTTTCCAAAGCATTCTATAGGAGGTCTTTGGACTTCGTTGTGATGCCATCGCCACGGCCAACTGTCATATTCCTGAGTTTAAAGCTTGAAGTACAAACAAAAAAGACCGATTTCATCCAGTTCCCGACGGAGGACATCAATTCTTCTTGCTCTATCGTAAAACCCCACAGAAGAACTGCAGAGCCACCGAGCCACGCACGGTTTCGTCGCAGCAACGTGTTGCTGCCAACGCAAAGAAGAAAAACCAGAGAATTCTGGATACACCATCGCTGGATACACCTCAAGAGACCCCCGCACCCCTCTGGTTTGTAAAGTGGTAGAGCGATTCGCGCAATCTGAAAACCCGCTAGCAAGAATTTGTCGTTTCATTTTTGACTTTTGGACCCCCGTTCCAGGGCCGATCTGCATTTTGTCCGCAAAAACGGGAGCTTCTCCTTCTGAAAAGCGCAAGAACATGCCGTGTTCACGGGTGTGTGTCTTGGATTTAACTTGCTTCACTTCCCAACTGGCAGCTCACTGATGAAACCAGGTGGTGTGATGAAATCCCAAGTGATACATAAAACCCATTGAGCAACGACTACGGGTCCTTTTGATGCCGGGTGAGCTCTGAGTCCTCTATCCATGCAGCCAGTTTCTGATGAGATTTTGCTGCCCACTGGGTCCAGTTGGGGCCCAGTGGATTCTTTTTCTCCGCAACGCTTGGTCTACGGCCTCTTGAAACACAATGACTCGCGCAGGAAAGTTCCGGCTGTCCAGGGAGGAAAGAAAGGCATATTATTCCCTCAAGTTTGCAAAGGCTGCAAAGCGAAGGCACGGATCCGGACGTCGCGAAGGATGGCGGGGTGGCAGTGTGGCATTGCGAGGAGAGGAAGTGTGAGGATCATCCCGGTTGGAAGCTTATTGGCCCGGTAGGGGCGGGAGTAGGCAATAAGGTGAGTACCTGGTACTTCAATTGAAGGGGACGATGCAACTTCCGCACCTCAGGTGCGCAGAATGGCGAACCTGCTGTCATGGGGATTTGGACCCGCCCTCTTGTCTCAGGCGACAGAACGTCTTACTTAGAATCATTTACTCAGTCTAGAAACTCGTGTTTTGTTCTTTTTTCGATATCTGCTGGCAGGACAATCACCGAGTCCTCCACATATCAATGACAACCGCGCGAGTTTTACCTCATAATGCCCTGGAGAAAACAACAAACAAGCTTCGACTTGTCTTCACGAACGCTTCGCCGGGTCCTCACCGGGTCTTCCTCGGCCCGGTCGGTGGAGTAGGGTTTTGGGGTCGACCGGAGCGCGGGTGGTGCATGAAAGTCTGGGTGAAACCTTGGAATAGTCTATCAAACGCCCACTTTTGGGGGGTTTCCCTCTTCTGTCTGCAGACCACAGCAGACCGCAGAACTCTTTTTGGGAAAAATGAGGTTCAGGGGAACACCGTGAAGCATTATTTACTTCAAGACACAGTCAAACAAATAACAACCTCCGGACTCCCGACATAATGCAGGCCTCTTGCCACATCGGCCACATTGGTCACATTGCCAGAACCTCTCTATGATAACATCAAGTCACAAGATTCAGGTTTTGTTTCCTCAATGTGGCGCGAGAGAGTTCGCCATCACCGGAACGTGTCATCCATCTGTGTCCGTGAAACAGCAGATTTCCCGTTCCGCCATGGTCTTTCATGTGATCTGCTTTGAACGTTCGGCCGACAGGCTAGAGCGACTGTACGTCTCTTGGACGCGAACACATGAGAGAGGAGTTTGTTTCTTTCTTCGTCATCGGCGTGGTTGGTGACATTAGTGCAGTCTTTTCGGGGTCAGCCGGTGGCAAGGATTGGCGCGACAACCAGGCTGACTGGGGTGGATTGCTTGGATTTGAGCAGGTGGGTAGAGATCTTATCAAATCTTCTACCATGTCTCGGGGTGTGAACGGTGAAGGTGTCTCTCGGGTGCAGAAGAACTTGTCCATCAATGGTATCAAGGCGGGTTTGTTCCTTGCCCCTGTAGGGCTGGATAGGTTGATGATACTTGATGATCCCGAGCTTCATTTTCAATATCAAACGGACCAACTCACACATCAACGAAGAAAAATGAAGCAAACTATACAAATGAATCGCAGCAAGATCGGCAAGAGGATAGACCTTTTTTTTCACTAAAACACAACTAATATATATATATATATACTAGACATCCCGGTGCCATTTCCCCTCTACAGAATTTGGAGCCCAGGCACCAAGAGATTCTATAGAGAATTGAGTTTTTTTTGCTCTACAGAATTTGGCACCACTATAGAATAAAGAAGCTATGGTTCTTTTGTATTCTGTAGTGAATGGTCTGGATAGATGATGATAGATGATTCAAATTGATATTCTATAGAGATTCATATTTTTTTGGAAATTAAACAAATGACAGCTTGATTTCCTGATTCTATAAGAGCAGAATGTGCATTTCAAATTCTATAGAGGTTTACGGAATGGCACCGCTTTTTTCCTAAAAGAAGTTGTCGGAAAGAACACAAATATACAACAATGATCAATAATGTATTTAGATGCATTTAGTATTTACAAACAAAGAACGGAATGAAGCTGGAAATCATTAGAGTGGCCAGTGCAATCCACTTTCTTTGATCCGAAATAGAGGACTCAAGATTCAACAGTGGAAAGATCCTTTGTGTGCAGCTGATTTTTCTTCCCTGATGCTTCCAAATCTTATAGTGAAGCAATGAAAGTAAGAGTCACTTTTCCAAGCTAGGGTGTTCACCTATTTTGTAGTGAGCTCAGTGTATACATTTTGCTCAGAAACCAATCCTATAGAGAGTCAACTGGGCTGTCAAGCCTGGTTTTTACCATAAAATAGGGGGGCCTGGGGTAGCCCCGGTATTCACACGGGGATTACTAGACTAATATCATTGGATCAATTAATATAGATATATGCACGATATATCTCACGCCATTTGTACTTTACTGTGACGATGGTGAACGTGTGACTTCCAGGGCCTGGCTAGCCTGGCTTGCCTGGCTTTTTCTTCATTCAATTGGGCGTTGGATGGTAGAGGATGGTCGCATTTTGCCTCCACATCAAGACCATTACCAACAGTTCTTTGACATTTATCACACTTCGTTGTCAAGAACCGGTCGTTTCGATCACTATTTATATGATATGGCCATATGGCCCGACAAAAGTTGGCGCACAAAAGCATAACAATCAACGCACGCCCGGTGCAAATCGTGCATTGAACCCTACGGAACTTCTGCCATTAGCCCCTAAGGCCTTAAGGTTCAGCTCAGTACCTGAAACAGAGGAGTCGTAAAGGAGATGTATGATCTATGTATCGAACTATTGCAATTGTTTTCCTGCTTTTTGGAGGATGTTCCTGCAATCCAGTGGT